TTGGTTCGGTGTGTGACGGTGGGCAAAGGGATACCTCGTACCGCTGCAGGATAGTGGCCTGTGTGTGGGTCTGCATACCCGTGATGGTTTGGAGCGGTTGACGAGCATGAGCTAGTAGGCACCTTTAATGCTGCCTCGCCATGTCTCGGGCCCTCCAGGCCACCACGACCATGCATACTCAAACACTCGCTCGCTCTCTGTGCGATGCGAATGCTCGATGCCCGACGCTCGGTACTCGGTACTCGATGCTCGGTGTCCTGGATCCCGATTCCCATTCGTCTCATCCGACCCGGTCTCCTGCTCAACCTAAAACAGAAAAAAAAAAATTAATGTTGCGGCCATATACTGCCCCCCGCGGGAACATTGGCTGGTTCAAGACTTCAACTACGTATTTAGACAGCTTGGTGCTAAATTTATTGCTGCTGGTGACTGGAATGCCAGAAGTTATTGGTGGGGCAACAGCAGATCAAATCGCAGGGGTAATATACTCCTTGAAAGTGTGCAGCAGCAAAACCTTGACATTCTGGCAACTGGCTCGTCAACGCGCTTTCCAAATAATGCGCGGCAGTCCCCGACAGCCATTGACTTCGCAGTATATAAAGGTGTGCAGTATGGTCTGCTAAAAATAAGCACATCCAATGACTTAGGATCGGATCACCTGCCGCTGCTGATTGAACTACTGAGTAAGCCAGCAGAAGGCGAACCCAAGTGTCATCTTCTTCCAGCAAATGCGAGCATACCCAAATTTCAATTGTGGCTAAACATGCACATCAATTTGAACACTGAGCTTCACTGTGGCGAAGATATTGACGATGCGGTAGACATACTGGAAAATAATATCCACTCTGCAGCGAAATTTGCAACAAACCTAACTCACCAGCCTTACCGAGGGCAACCAAAATATAACTACACAATCAACAGGCGCATTCAACAAATGATTGAGGCCAAGAGGCTGATTAAACGCCACATACAGGCATACCACAACCCGGCTGCTAGGCAAGCACACAACAGATTAGCCAACAACATTAGCCGGGAAATCAAGCATGCCAAGGCGAGAAGACTTGATGAGTTGCTGGAATCTATCGATGCAAGGGATAGATACAGTATGCAAAAGTTATGGCGGCTAACGGGGAACATCAAAAGGCAGCCCGCACCTAATTTACCAGTGAGGAAGCACACTGAGGGAGCTGGGACTTCCCAGTGGTGCAAGACCACCGAAGAAAAAGCCGAAGCCTTTGCGCAGCACCTTGAACAAAGGTTTAGGCCAATGATCACCACGCTGCCCTCTGACAAGAGCCATGTCGAGATGCAAGTATCGCTACCTGTGGCCCAAGGTGAACTCTGCTTCCCTCCAGTCACGCTAGGGGAAGTACAAGCTATAATCAAAATGCTGCAAACAAAAAAGTCTCCGGGGATTGACCGAATCGATAATCGCACGATCAAGGAACTGCCACAGTCAGCTGTACTGTACCTAGTGCTTATTTTTAACGGTATCCTACGCTTTGGACACTTTCCTTGCAAGTGGAAATGTGCCAAAATAACAATGATCCAAAAGCCAGGCAAGCCCTCTGATCAGCTTGGATCATACAGGCCAATAAGCTTGCTCGCTGGCTTTTCAAAAATCTTTGAGCGACTGCTGCTGCGCCGGATGTTCCAATTGGACAACATCATCAATGCAATTCCGAGCCACCAATTCGGTTTCAGACGTGAGCATGCTGCTGAACAACAATTGGGTCGAGTTACGCAGTTTATACTAGAAGCGTACGAGGACAATAAATACTGCTCTGCGGTCTATATGGACATACAGGAGGCGTTTGATCGTGTCTGGCATGACGGACTGCGATTCAAGCTCAAACAGCTATTGCCGGAAGTCCTCTACCGAGTTATGAATAGCTATCTAAGCGAACGCACATTCATTGTGGACTGCTGTGGAGGTACGCATTCCAGCCTAAAAGAAATCTGCGCCGGCGTTCCGCAGGGTAGTGTTTTAGGGCCTGTACTGTACACCCTATACACATCCGACATGCCCCTACCTGCACCGCTACGACACGGCAAACTGATGCTGGCAACTTATGCCGATGACACGGCCATCTTGTCATCGGCAAACTTGCAAGAAGATGCCATTGCCAATTTGGATCTGTTCCTTGCCACCATTACAACATGGACACAAAAGTGGAGCATTAGCATCAACATTACCAAAACCAAGCACATAATGCACACTTGGAGAAGCTTGCAGATGCCAATTCTTTCCCCAAGAATTTTGGATCAACGGCTCACCACAGAAGAAAGGATTTCATACCTGGGAGTGCAAGTCGATAAAAAGCTTCTTTTGAGCAGCCACGTCACCACCATTGTCGCCAGGGTTAGAGACAGGGCCAAAAAGCTGCACTGGCTAATATCAGAAAGGAGCAAGCTACCATTAAAATGCAAAGTATCACTCTACAAGCAGCTCATAGCCCCAATATGGCAGTTCGCACTTCCGGTCTGGGGATCACTTCTATGCGAAGGCCAATTTGAACGGATTCAAGTTGCGCAAAACAAGATATTGCGAACCATTGCTGGAGCACCTTGGTACGTGCGAAACCAAAGCATCCACACTGATCTGAAGGTCGTGCCGGTGGAAAAAATGTATCAGGATGCTTGCTCCAGGTACTGGGCTCGGCTCAGCAACCACAGCAACGATGAAGCCAAAAATATTGCCCTTAAAGCAAGACTCCCACAACGTCACCTAGGTGTCAGAAGAAGATACGCTGAAATGCTTCGGAAGCACCTACCTCTGGGTCGCCTAGCACAGCAGCAGCGGTCACAGCAGGGCCAGCTACCTTCTCATGGGCAGCCACGTCCGCTCCCACGACCACCCAGTCTCAGAGACTACCTTGTATTTGACATACAAGAACTGCTAAGTCAAACAGTGGTGCAGCCCAACTACCTCCAGGATAGACGAAACAGCCCGTCTCATATACAGCTGTGCTCAACTCTCGCTACCACTACAAGGCCAGGAGCTCTCATTCCTCCCAGTCCAGAGACACCAAGCTCGCATCCAAATCCACAGACGCAGCGGGACGTGGCCACCAGTGCGGATCAAGAAGCAGTGTGCAACACCATGTGCACACTTGCTACACTGTTCATGATGGCAGCCAACCTCTATGTACTTGTACCACAGCGAGGGCCTAAGACTAGGACTACTTGCAGGACACGGCAACTCATCCAATTGCGACTGGCTGAAAGGCAGATAAAGCAAAGATTGCGTTACGCTAACGAACCAATCAGATGGCTTCATACAACTCGTTGCCAAAGGGTTGCCTACTTACAGAAATTCAGACTGCGACATCCCATACAATGGAAAAAGGCCTTGATGCTACGTCTCTCAAGCACCCACACCAATGGCATCTGGCGGCAGGATCAACGGTGGTCACGCTGGCGGCTCCAGCTCATCCAGATGCAACGGCTATCAGACTGGGTAGCTTCCAGACAATTGGGGATTTTCCCAATCCTCAAATAATTAATTTGACAGCAATCCCCATGCCAAGGCTGGGAAACTTCACTTGAATTGTATATAACATGTCACTTAATTCATTGTAAGTACTCTAGGTATTAAATGAATAAAAAAAAAAAACAGTCTGGATCCCAGTCCCCACTTCTCTGTCTGTCAACCAGGCATGGAGCTGGGCTCTGGAATCCAGACCGACATTGCGTTTGTTCCCTTGTGTCGAACGGTAAACAAACAAACTGAGTAAAGTTTTACCAGATTCCTTATACAGATTGATTCGAGGTTACTTATCTCAAAGAACATTCACAGTCGAATGCAGCGGCGGTGTACGCTCTGGCAACAAACTCATCCGGGCTGGCGTTCCTCAGGGCAGCGTTCTGGGACCAGTTTTGTACAGCATCTACTCATCCGACATGCCGGTACCGCAAACTCAAACTGGTGATGGTCAGAAGGGGATGCTCCTGGCGACCTACGCCGACGACACGACAATCATGTCGGCACACAGATCAGACAGAGTTGCCATAATCACAATGAACAATTACCTGAATAGATTCTCTTCATGGGCCAAGAAGTGGTGCATACAAATCAACACCTCGAAAACAGCGCACGTGCTCCACACGCTGCGACGCACTGAATCGGCGCCTACGCCAATCCTGGAAGGCCACATACTCGCCAACAAACAAATGCACACATACCTGGGTGTATGTCTCGACGCTAAACTGCAGCTAAGCTCCCAAGTATCGGCAACAGTCTCCAAACTTAAGTCGAGGATCAAAAAGCTGCACTGGCTACTAAATAGCAACAGCAAACTGCCGCTTAAAACAAAGATTATCCTCTACAGGCAATTGATAGCACCAATATGGCAGTACACATTACCTGTCTGGGGCCCACTAGTCAGCCAGACGCACTTTGACAAGCTGCAGACTATTCAGAACAAAGTACTCAGACTAATAACAGGCGCTCCGTGGTATGTTAGCAATCGCACTCTGCACGCAGATTTGCGTATCCCATTAATCGAAAAAGTATATAGTAGTGCCTGCTCCAAATACACGAAGAGATTGTTAACACACTGTAATGCCGAGGCCAGGAAGTTGGCACTTTACCCGTACGTTCCGCAGCGACTAGCACGTCCAAGATATCTGCAAATGATAGACAGATGCCTGCCGCCACAAGAACGGCCTCCACCGCAGCAACCAGAGGCATCACCGCCGCGCGCTTATTTGCCCATGTTTGGACCACTCACTTTAAGGCAACACTTGCTTTATGGGCGCAGTGAAAGGCCCAGATTAACGCATCATCAGATTGCGGAACAACGCAGATTGGAACTGCAACGATACAGAGAGCAGGTGGCCCTCAGACGTGCGCGTATACTAAACGCAGCCCAAACTTCAGACAACGTGCTTTCTCCGGCTGTAACTGCAACAAATTCCAATTTAGACAACAACAGTACATTGCTTGTCTCGGGTATACTTGCAATTATCGACTTAACTGTTGACCAACTGCCATTAAGCGCTTCTGTCGAAGACTCGCAAATTCCCCAGCAAATTCGTCCCGAACATCTGGACCCTGATCCACTGATATTGCCACCGAGCCCAAATGAGCCTGGAAATAGAGAAAGGGCACTGATTAACACAGTTCAACACTATAACAACAACACCAACTACAGCACTGTGAGTGTCCTTCCCGGCCGCCATGGCCTGACGGCGGACAGCCAAAGCACAACTGCCATATTGCCGCCTGCGGCGACTGGTACGCCGACTGTGCACGATCCGGATGACGGAGTTACAGACAGGGACTCCTCGGCTCCCCAAATTGATGAGATCGACCACGCTCTGTGGTCCATGGCACTGCCAGCCACAAGCTCTAATGCTGGAAACATCATCGCTCAGACACTGCCGAGTTCCGTGGCAGCGGCAACGCCAGTGGCACAGAGTATGCTTCAGACAGGCCAGGCTGATGCCGAACAAACATCACCAGCCATTGTGCCACCTGCGGCAGGCTCCACAGCCGCTGCTGACAGGCACACAATTGCAACGACTGTTAACTCGAGTCCATCTGCAGTCAGCGATGAACTGGCTACTACACTGGACAGGTCGCCGCATGCTGTGGCAGATTCGCCTGGCCTGGCGGTGGCCACACTAACTTCACCAGCCATCTTGCCACGTGCGGCTGTAAACGCACCAAAGGCTCCCGAGCACAACGCCAGCTTCTCAGCACCAGGCCCTCTGGCTGCACTAATGCTTGTGACTCCAAATACATCTGGAAGAAGAAGGAAGCAAGACATTAATACAGCTCCAACACACAAGACAGGCACAGCTCACACAACCATCGAAGACCGCTGCTCTATGGAGACCGATCAGGCACCGTCAGTACTAGCGACACTCGCAGTCAACAAGGCACCCCCCGCTGTTGGACAGCAGGCAGGCCAGGCTGAGGCCGAACAAACATTAACAGCCATTGCGCCACCTGCGGCAGGCTCCACAACCGCTGCTGATAGGCACACAGTTGCAACGATTGTTAACTCGAGTCCATCTGCAGTCAGCGATGAACTGGCTTCTACACTGGACAGGTCGCCGCATGCAGTGGCAGAGTCGCCTGGCCTGTCGGTGGCCACACTTACTTCACCAGCCATCTTGCCACGTGCGGCTGTAAACGCTCCAAAGGCTCCCGAGCACAACGCCAGTTTCTCAGCACCAGGTCCTCTGGCTACACTAATATCTGTGACTCCAAATACATCTGAAAGAAGAAGGAAGCAAGACATTAATACAGCTCCGGCACGCAAGGCAGGCACAGCTTACACAACCATCGAAGACCGCTGCTTGATGGAGACCGATCAGGCACCGTCAGTACTAGCGACACTCGCAGTCAACAATGCACCCCCCGCTGTTGGACAGCAGGCAGGCCAGGTAGAGGCCGAACAAACATTAACAGCCATTGCGCAACCTGCGGCAGGCTCCACAGCCGCTGCTGATAGGCACACAATTGCAACGATTGTTAACTCGAGTCCATCTGCAGTCAGCGATGAACTGGCTTCTACACTGGACAGGTCGCCGCATGCTGTGGCAGATTCGCCTGGCCTGGCGGTGGCCACACTAACTTCACCAGCCATCTTGCCACGTGCGGCTGTAAACGCACCAAAGGCTCCCGAGCACAACGCCAGCTTCTCAGCACCAGGCCCTCTGGCTGCACTAATGCTTGTGACTCCAAATACATCTGGAAGAAGAAGGAAGCAAGACATTAATACAGCTCCAACACACAAGACAGGCACAGCTCACACAACCATCGAAGACCGCTGCTCAATGGAGACCGATCAGGCACCGTCAGTACTAGCGACACTCGCAGTCAACAAGGCACCCCCCGCTGTTGGACAGCAGGCAGGCCAGGCTGAGGCCGAACAAACATTAACAGCCATTGCGCCACCTGCGGCAGGCTCCACAACCGCTGCTGATAGGCACACAGTTGCAACGATTGTTAACTCGAGTCCATCTGCAGTCAGCGATGAACTGGCTTCTACACTGGACAGGTCGCCGCATGCAGTGGCAGAGTCGCCTGGCCTGTCGGTGGCCACACTTACTTCACCAGCCATCTTGCCACGTGCGGCTGTAAACGCTCCAAAGGCTCCCGAGCACAACGCCAGTTTCTCAGTACCAGGTCCTCTGGCTGCACTAATATCTGTGACTCCAAATACATCTGAAAGAAGAAGGAAGCAAGACATTAATACAGCTCCGGCACGCAAGGCAGGCACAGCTTACACAACCATCGAAGACCGCTGCTTGATGGAGACCGATCAGGCACCGTCAGTACTAGCGACACTCGCAGTCAACAATGCACCCCCCGCTGTTGGACAGCAGGCAGGCCAGGTAGAGGCCGAACAAACATCAACAGCCATTGCGCAACCTGCGGCAGGCTCCACAGCCGCTGCTGATAGGCACACAATTGCAACGATTGTTAACTCGAGTCCATCTGCAGTCAGCGATGAACTGGCTTCTACACTGGTCAGGTCGCCGCATGCAGTGGCAGAGTCGCCTGGCCTGGCGGTGGCCACACTTACTTCACCAGCCACCTTGCCACGTGCGGCTGTAAACGCCCCAAAGGCTCCCGAGCACAACGCCAGCTTCTCAGCACCAGGTCCTCTGGCTGCACTAACATCTGTGACTCCAAATACATCTGAAAGAAGAAGGAAGCAAGACATTAATACAGCTCCGACACACAAGACAGGCACAGCTCACACAACCATCGAAGACCGCTGCTCGATGGAGACCGATCAGGCACCGTCAGTAATAGCGACACTCGCAGTCAGCAAGACACTCCCCGCTGTTGGACAGCAGGCAGGCCAGGCTGAGGCCGAACAAACATTACCAGCCAATGCGCCACCTGCGGCAGGCTCCACAGCCGCTGCTGCTAGGCACACAATTGTAACGACTGTTAACACGAGTCCATCTGCAATCAGCGAAGAACGGGCTTCTACTCTGGACAGGTCGCCGCATGCTGAGGCAGAGTCGCCTGGACTGGCGGTGGCCACACTAACTAAACCAGCCATCTTGCCACGGGCGGCTGTAAACGCACCAAGGGCTCCCGAGCACAACGCTAGCTTCTCAGCACCAGGTCCTCTGGCTGCACTAATGTTAGTGACTCCAAATACAGCTGAAAGAAGAAGGAAGCAAAATATTAACAACAACAACAACATCAACAACAACGCTACTCACCAGACACCAGGCAACTCAGCACTAGCAGCAACTAGCCACTCCGCACACGCCACAACGCTAACTACGGCCGGCAGCACACCTTCCGACACATCAGACACAGAAGTGCTGGAAGCTGAGTGTTGCCTGCCATAATAAGGCTGTTGTAGTCTACTGGTCGCCTCCTAGTCGCGACCTCGTGAGCAACGTAAAATTGCCTCTGCTACTCGAAGCCTGAAGGCCAACTACACAACCTCTGCTGAAAATAAAACAAAAATTTTAAATATAAATAATTAACAACTACTACTACTTACCTTACATTAATAAAAATGTATACTTATAGTATAAGTTTTGACCAGTTAGAGCCAAAATTGTGGCGCCAACAAATTCAATTATAATGTCCACGATATCGATTGAATAAAGATGCTCATCCCCAGCTGTGCAATTCACCACTCCTGCTGGACAGGCAGAGGTGAAATCGCGCAAATGGGATAAGCTTAGTATTAGTGCGTCTTTCATGGCCACTAAGAAAGAAAACGCACCAAGGGCTCCCGAGCACAACGCTAGCTTCTCAGCACCAGGTCCTCTGGCTGCACTAATGTTAGTGACTCCAAATACAGCTGAAAGAAGAAGGAAGCAAAATATTAACAACAACAACAACATCAACAACAACGCTACTCACCAGACACCAGGCAACTCAGCACTAGCAGCAACTAGCCACTCCGCACACGCCACAACGCTAACTACGGCCGGCAGCACACCTTCCGACACATCAGACACAGAAGTGCTGGAAGCTGAGTGTTGCCTGCCATAATAAGGCTGTTGTAGTCTACTGGTCGCCTCCTAGTCGCGACCTCGTGAGCAACGTAAAATTGCCTCTGCTACTCGAAGCCTGAAGGCCAACTACACAACCTCTGCTGAAAATAAAACAAAAATTTTAAATATAAATAATTAACAACTACTACTACTTACCTTACATTAATAAAAATGTATACTTATAGTATAAGTTTTGACCAGTTAGAGCCAAAATTGTGGCGCCAACAAATTCAATTATAATGTCCACGATATCGATTGAATAAAGATGCTCATCCCCAGCTGTGCAATTCACCACTCCTGCTGGACAGGCAGAGGTGAAATCGCGCAAATGGGATAAGCTTAGTATTAGTGCGTCTTTCATGGCCACTAAGAAAGAAACGTAAAATTGCCTCTGCTACTCGAAGCCTGAAGGCCAACTACACAACCTCTGCTGAAAATAAAACAAAAATTTTAAATATAAATAATTAACAACTACTACTACTTACCTTACATTAATAAAAATGTATACTTATAGTATAAGTTTTGACCAGTTAGAGCCAAAATTGTGGCGCCAACAAATTCAATTATAATGTCCACGATATCGATTGAATAAAGATGCTCATCCCCAGCTGTGCAATTCACCACTCCTGCTGGACAGGCAGAGGTGAAATCGCGCAAATGGGATAAGCTTAGTATTAGTGCGTCTTTCATGGCCACTAAGAAAGAAAAAAACAATCATGTCGGCACACAGATCAGACAGAGTTGCCATAATCACAATGAACAATTACCTGAATAGATTCTCTTCATGGGCCAAGAAGTGGTGCATACAAATCAACACCTCGAAAACAGCGCACGTGCTCCACACGCTGCGACGCACTGAATCGGCGCCTACGCCAATCCTGGAAGGCCACATACTCGCCAACAAACAAATGCACACATACCTGGGTGTATGTCTCGACGCTAAACTGCAGCTAAGCTCCCAAGTATCGGCAACAGTCTCCAAACTTAAGTCGAGGATCAAAAAGCTGCACTGGCTACTAAATAGCAACAGCAAACTGCCGCTTAAAACAAAGATTATCCTCTACAGGCAATTGATAGCACCAATATGGCAGTACACATTACCTGTCTGGGGCCCACTAGTCAGCCAGACGCACTTTGACAAGCTGCAGACTATTCAGAACAAAGTACTCAGACTAATAACAGGCGCTCCGTGGTATGTTAGCAATCGCACTCTGCACGCAGATTTGCGTATCCCATTAATCGAAAAAGTATATAGTAGTGCCTGCTCCAAATACACGAAGAGATTGTTAACACACTGTAATGCCGAGGCCAGGAAGTTGGCACTTTACCCGTACGTTCCGCAGCGACTAGCACGTCCAAGATATCTGCAAATGATAGACAGATGCCTGCCGCCACAAGAACGGCCTCCACCGCAGCAACCAGAGGCATCACCGCCGCGCGCTTATTTGCCCATGTTTGGACCACTCACTTTAAGGCAACACTTGCTTTATGGGCGCAGTGAAAGGCCCAGATTAACGCATCATCAGATTGCGGAACAACGCAGATTGGAACTGCAACGATACAGAGAGCAGGTGGCCCTCAGACGTGCGCGTATACTAAACGCAGCCCAAACTTCAGACAACGTGCTTTCTCCGGCTGTAACTGCAACAAATTCCAATTTAGACAACAACAGTACATTGCTTGTCTCGGGTATACTTGCAATTATCGACTTAACTGTTGACCAACTGCCATTAAGCGCTTCTGTCGAAGACTCGCAAATTCCCCAGCAAATTCGTCCCGAACATCTGGACCCTGATCCACTGATATTGCCACCGAGCCCAAATGAGCCTGGAAATAGAGAAAGGGCACTGATTAACACAGTTCAACACTATAACAACAACACCAACTACAGCACTGTGAGTGTCCTTCCCGGCCGCCATGGCCTGACGGCGGACAGCCAAAGCACAACTGCCATATTGCCGCCTGCGGCGACTGGTACGCCGACTGTGCACGATCCGGATGACGGAGTTACAGACAGGGACTCCTCGGCTCCCCAAATTGATGAGATCGACCACGCTCTGTGGTCCATGGCACTGCCAGCCACAAGCTCTAATGCTGGAAACATCATCGCTCAGACACTGCCGAGTTCCGTGGCAGCGGCAACGCCAGTGGCACAGAGTATGCTTCAGACAGGCCAGGCTGATGCCGAACAAACATCACCAGCCATTGTGCCACCTGCGGCAGGCTCCACAGCCGCTGCTGACAGGCACACAATTGCAACGACTGTTAACTCGAGTCCATCTGCAGTCAGCGATGAACTGGCTACTACACTGGACAGGTCGCCGCATGCTGTGGCAGATTCGCCTGGCCTGGCGGTGGCCACACTAACTTCACCAGCCATCTTGCCACGTGCGGCTGTAAACGCACCAAAGGCTCCCGAGCACAACGCCAGCTTCTCAGCACCAGGCCCTCTGGCTGCACTAATGCTTGTGACTCCAAATACATCTGGAAGAAGAAGGAAGCAAGACATTAATACAGCTCCAACACACAAGACAGGCACAGCTCACACAACCATCGAAGACCGCTGCTCTATGGAGACCGATCAGGCACCGTCAGTACTAGCGACACTCGCAGTCAACAAGGCACCCCCCGCTGTTGGACAGCAGGCAGGCCAGGCTGAGGCCGAACAAACATTAACAGCCATTGCGCCACCTGCGGCAGGCTCCACAACCGCTGCTGATAGGCACACAGTTGCAACGATTGTTAACTCGAGTCCATCTGCAGTCAGCGATGAACTGGCTTCTACACTGGACAGGTCGCCGCATGCAGTGGCAGAGTCGCCTGGCCTGTCGGTGGCCACACTTACTTCACCAGCCATCTTGCCACGTGCGGCTGTAAACGCTCCAAAGGCTCCCGAGCACAACGCCAGTTTCTCAGCACCAGGTCCTCTGGCTACACTAATATCTGTGACTCCAAATACATCTGAAAGAAGAAGGAAGCAAGACATTAATACAGCTCCGGCACGCAAGGCAGGCACAGCTTACACAACCATCGAAGACCGCTGCTTGATGGAGACCGATCAGGCACCGTCAGTACTAGCGACACTCGCAGTCAACAATGCACCCCCCGCTGTTGGACAGCAGGCAGGCCAGGTAGAGGCCGAACAAACATTAACAGCCATTGCGCAACCTGCGGCAGGCTCCACAGCCGCTGCTGATAGGCACACAATTGCAACGATTGTTAACTCGAGTCCATCTGCAGTCAGCGATGAACTGGCTTCTACACTGGACAGGTCGCCGCATGCTGTGGCAGATTCGCCTGGCCTGGCGGTGGCCACACTAACTTCACCAGCCATCTTGCCACGTGCGGCTGTAAACGCACCAAAGGCTCCCGAGCACAACGCCAGCTTCTCAGCACCAGGCCCTCTGGCTGCACTAATGCTTGTGACTCCAAATACATCTGGAAGAAGAAGGAAGCAAGACATTAATACAGCTCCAACACACAAGACAGGCACAGCTCACACAACCATCGAAGACCGCTGCTCAATGGAGACCGATCAGGCACCGTCAGTACTAGCGACACTCGCAGTCAACAAGGCACCCCCCGCTGTTGGACAGCAGGCAGGCCAGGCTGAGGCCGAACAAACATTAACAGCCATTGCGCCACCTGCGGCAGGCTCCACAACCGCTGCTGATAGGCACACAGTTGCAACGATTGTTAACTCGAGTCCATCTGCAGTCAGCGATGAACTGGCTTCTACACTGGACAGGTCGCCGCATGCAGTGGCAGAGTCGCCTGGCCTGTCGGTGGCCACACTTACTTCACCAGCCATCTTGCCACGTGCGGCTGTAAACGCTCCAAAGGCTCCCGAGCACAACGCCAGTTTCTCAGTACCAGGTCCTCTGGCTGCACTAATATCTGTGACTCCAAATACATCTGAAAGAAGAAGGAAGCAAGACATTAATACAGCTCCGGCACGCAAGGCAGGCACAGCTTACACAACCATCGAAGACCGCTGCTTGATGGAGACCGATCAGGCACCGTCAGTACTAGCGACACTCGCAGTCAACAATGCACCCCCCGCTGTTGGACAGCAGGCAGGCCAGGTAGAGGCCGAACAAACATCAACAGCCATTGCGCAACCTGCGGCAGGCTCCACAGCCGCTGCTGATAGGCACACAATTGCAACGATTGTTAACTCGAGTCCATCTGCAGTCAGCGATGAACTGGCTTCTACACTGGTCAGGTCGCCGCATGCAGTGGCAGAGTCGCCTGGCCTGGCGGTGGCCACACTTACTTCACCAGCCACCTTGCCACGTGCGGCTGTAAACGCCCCAAAGGCTCCCGAGCACAACGCCAGCTTCTCAGCACCAGGTCCTCTGGCTGCACTAATATCTGTGACTCCAAATACATCTGAAAGAAGAAGGAAGCAAGACATTAATACAGCTCCGACACACAAGACAGGCACAGCTCACACAACCATCGAAGACCGCTGCTCGATGGAGACCGATCAGGCACCGTCAGTAATAGCGACACTCGCAGTCAGCAAGACACTCCCCGCTGTTGGACAGCAGGCAGGCCAGGCTGAGGCCGAACAAACATTACCAGCCAATGCGCCACCTGCGGCAGGCTCCACAGCCGCTGCTGCTAGGCACACAATTGTAACGACTGTTAACACGAGTCCATCTGCAATCAGCGAAGAACGGGCTTCTACTCTGGACAGGTCGCCGCATGCTGAGGCAGAGTCGCCTGGACTGGCGGTGGCCACACTAACTAAACCAGCCATCTTGCCACGGGCGGCTGTAAACGCACCAAGGGCTCCCGAGCACAACGCTAGCTTCTCAGCACCAGGTCCTCTGGCTGCACTAATGTTAGTGACTCCAAATACAGCTGAAAGAAGAAGGAAGCAAAATATTAACAACAACAACAACATCAACAACAACGCTACTCACCAGACACCAGGCAACTCAGCACTAGCAGCAACTAGCCACTCCGCACACGCCACAACGCTAACTACGGCCGGCAGCACACCTTCCGACACATCAGACACAGAAGTGCTGGAAGCTGAGTGTTGCCTGCCATAATAAGGCTGTTGTAGTCTACTGGTCGCCTCCTAGTCGCGACCTCGTGAGCAACGTAAAATTGCCTCTGCTACTCGAAGCCTGAAGGCCAACTACACAACCTCTGCTGAAAATAAAACAAAAATTTTAAATATAAATAATTAACAACTACTACTACTTACCTTACATTAATAAAAATGTATACTTATAGTATAAGTTTTGACCAGTTAGAGCCAAAATTGTGGCGCCAACAAATTCAATTATAATGTCCACGATATCGATTGAATAAAGATGCTCATCCCCAGCTGTGCAATTCACCACTCCTGCTGGACAGGCAGAGGTGAAATCGCGCAAATGGGATAAGCTTAGTATTAGTGCGTCTTTCATGGCCACTAAGAAAGAAACCGCTGCTGCTAGGCACACAATTGTAACGACTGTTAACACGAGTCCATCTGCAATCAGCGAAGAACGGGCTTCTACTCTGGACAGGTCGCCGCATGCTGAGGCAGAGTCGCCTGGACTGGCGGTGGCCACACTAACTAAACCAGCCATCTTGCCACGGGCGGCTGTAAACGCACCAAGGGCTCCCGAGCACAACGCTAGCTTCTCAGCACCAGGTCCTCTGGCTGCACTAATGTTAGTGACTCCAAATACAGCTGAAAGAAGAAGGAAGCAAAATATTAACAACAACAACAACATCAACAACAACGCTACTCACCAGACACCAGGCAACTCAGCACTAGCAGCAACTAGCCACTCCGCACACGCCACAACGCTAACTACGGCCGGCAGCACACCTTCCGACACATCAGACACAGAAGTGCTGGAAGCTGAGTGTTGCCTGCCATAATAAGGCTGTTGTAGTCTACTGGTCGCCTCCTAGTCGCGACCTCGTGAGCAACGTAAAATTGCCTCTGCTACTCGAAGCCTGAAGGCCAACTACACAACCTCTGCTGAAAATAAAACAAAAATTTTAAATATAAATAATTAACAACTACTACTACTTACCTTACATTAATAAAAATGTATACTTATAGTATAAGTTTTGACCAGTTAGAGCCAAAATTGTGGCGCCAACAAATTCAATTATAATGTCCACGATATCGATTGAATAAAGATGCTCATCCCCAGCTGTGCAATTCACCACTCCTGCTGGACAGGCAGAGGTGAAATCGCGCAAATGGGATAAGCTTAGTATTAGTGCGTCTTTCATGGCCACTAAGAAAGAAAAAGGCGGCTGTAAACGCACCAAGGGCTCCCGAGCACAACGCTAGCTTCTCAGCACCAGGTCCTCTGGCTGCACTAATGTTAGTGACTCCAAATACAGCTGAAAGAAGAAGGAAGCAAAATATTAACAACAACAACAACATCAACAACAACGCTACTCACCAGACACCAGGCAACTCAGCACTAGCAGCAACTAGCCACTCCGCACACGCCACAACGCTAACTACGGCCGGCAGCACACCTTCCGACACATCAGACACAGAAGTGCTGGAAGCTGAGTGTTGCCTGCCATAATAAGGCTGTTGTAGTCTACTGGTCGCCTCCTAGTCGCGACCTCGTGAGCAACGTAAAATTGCCTCTGCTACTCGAAGCCTGAAGGCCAACTACACAACCTCTGCTGAAAATAAAACAAAAATTTTAAATATAAATAATTAACAACTACTACTACTTACCTTACATTAATAAAAATGTATACTTATAGTATAAGTTTTGACCAGTTAGAGCCAAAATTGTGGCGCCAACAAATTCAATTATAATGTCCACGATATCGATTGAATAAAGATGCTCATCCCCAGCTGTGCAATTCACCACTCCTGCTGGACAGGCAGAGGTGAAATCGCGCAAATGGGATAAGCTTAGTATTAGTGCGTCTTTCATGGCCACTAAGAAAGAAAAAAGCCACTAAGAAAGAAAAGAAAAAATAAATCGTTAAAAACAGAGACAGCGAGTAGGTAAATCCTCGCCCTACGCGCGAGTAAACAAGTATAGCATCAACTACAGATGCAGTGATTAAGTGTCAAAGTTATAAGTTTTGTGAAATAGAAAAACCCGCACGTGGTAATAAATTACGCCATTAAGGCGAGTGGCTCTCACGCCTTGCCTCTCTCATCTTTTAAGAGAGGCAACACGCATAGTGTCATTAAGCAATCTATCGATAGGACGATACTAAGTGATCACGCTGTTAAGTGCACGCTGCTAATAACATCAAACTGCTAATAACTAGCATAAACATCCCTCTACAATCTTTCTGCCAACGCACTGCCAATTAACATCATCTAAACTTGAGAGTGCAAATAACATATCTCATCAAATCGCGCGTACTCAACACTAGTACGACTTAACATCACTCAACAATACCTCCAAATCATAAGCCGCTGAATTAAAAGAAAATGAATCCAGCCACCATTACAGTGGATGACGACCAAATGGACGACGACATAGACGTTGAAATGCTAGAATCAACACAGGAATTGTGGAAATTCCCCAAGCCGACGTCAAATAACTCTGAGATTACCTCACAGCAGCCGAGCACATCCAGTGCAGCTGCTGCTGCTAATGCCAACAAAGCTGTTCCAACAGCTGCCACCAAACAGCAGACGCTGTACGATTTGATGAACCAACACGAGACGCTTAAGCAAAAACTGCAAACGCCAAAAAGAGCCAGCAAGAGGCTGACGAAGGAAAAACCCGTTGCTAGCCAAAAGAAAAAGACACCAAACCCCGAGTCCGGTGCTACTGAAACTCCCGCCGACAATCAAGCTCGCACTCCAAGTAACCGCTTCAGGTCGCTGGCAGAAGAACTCGAGATGAACATCTCGGATATTGACGACAGTGAAGAGGACGACTCGATCGGACAATTAGCACCCACTAGCAATGCTGCTAAAGCCACTACAGCCGCCGAAGCTGCAGACGTGACCACGTCTAACGCTGCTGCAGCTCCAAATACAGCTGCTGCTCCTGCTCCCACAGGCTCAAGAGCTGCCAAATTCTCTCGAACGGCAAAACCAAAACCGATTCTTATTCCCGAAGTCAACGACATTATGCCGATCATAGAGGGAATCAACAACGTCATTGGAGATAACTATGTCACTAAACCCACGGCTAAGCAGGGACTGAGAATTCAGTGTAACGATGTCGACTCGTACCGTAAGTTGGTACACCATTTTCAAGAAAACCAGATACAATGCCACACTTACCAGCTTGAGCACGAGCGCGGATTCAGGGCAGTTATTCGATACCTCCACAAATCCACGCCAATGGATTGGATCCGCACCAGGCTGGCTGACCTTGGCTTTAAAGTGCGCTACCTAGATGTAATCAAGAAGCGCTACACCAGGGAACCATTGGACCTCTTCGAAGTTGAGTTCGAGCAAGCCGAAAACATACTTGACGTGCTAAAACTTAATAAGCTGGGCAACCAACAAATTGTCGTAGAACGTCCGCTGCGCTCAACAGAAGTAGCCCAGTGCCATAGATGTCAGCAATTCGGGCACACAAAAAACTACTGCCGCCGGCCTTTTGTGTGTGTCAAGTGCGCTGGAGCCCACCAATCCACAGCCTGCCTAAAAGAAGCTGGTGAGAAACCAAAATGCGCAAACTGTAAGGGCCAGCACGCAGCCAGCTACCGAGGATGCCAGATATACAAAAACGCCTGCAAAACTAAAGAACCCCAGAGCATTGCCCGTGCTAACCATATACTTAACGAACTGGGCATTCCACAAATCCATTCCAGTCGCCAACAACAGCGCCTACCACAAGCGCAGCAGCAAATCCACCAGCAGCACCAAACTGCGCAAAATACTCCAGCTCCTATACAAAAGCTACTAGCTGCGCCCAGGATTACTCCGAGCCAGCAGCCTCAACAAACGGAGCACCATATAAACAGAGCAGCCTTCTCCAGCTATGCGGCAGCAGCTAAAAACACGCTCCAACAAAGGGATCCCAGGCAACGCCTAGCCAGACGAGAACAGGCACTGCCTGAGCCACTCTCTGCTGACCAAAACAATCCGACGCCACTGAAACGGCCAGCTCTTAGAAGCCGAAGTCGCAGTGTTCAGCGCAGTACCCAAAGTCTAATACAGAACCATGTGAACGACAATCTTATCCAGAAGCTAGACACATTAACAGCCATTATCATTGAGGACCGAGAGCAACGAATGACCGCCAACGCACCATCAGGCTTCGCTAAGCTCGAACGCAAGATTGACCAACTAATGGACGTCCTCATCACAGTGGTCTCCAGCCTCCAGCCCAGGCAGCAAGCCAATGGCGCTCACAATGCTTAGACATCCACCCACTACTAATACAGCCCCAACAGCAACTCCAAACGATAATACCCTTTTAAAAATCATCTCTTGGAATGCCGCTGGGCTCACAAACAAACTGCACGAAATGAAAACATTTATTAAAGAACACAATGTGGACATTATGCTGGTTACCGAAACTCACCTGTTGGACACTGACTCAATCAACGTCAACGGATATGATATGTACACAGTCAATCATCCTTCAAATCGCAGGCGCGGGGGTGCCGCAACACTTATAAAACGCTCGATCCGACACATGGCTCTGCCGTCCATAGCCTCACCACGGATACAATGCTCCAACGTTGCTGTTGCCCTCCAAGACGGCTCCTCAATAAACATCTCCGCAGTGTACCTCCCGCCGCTCAACGAATGGTCAACTGACGACTTCCACAATCTGCTAAATGGACTAGGAGAAAAGTTTTTGATAGCCGGCGATTGGAACGCCAAAAGCCGCTGGTGGGGCAACGCCCGTTCCTGCAGGAGAGGCACTGCACTTCTGCAATGTATACAGCAGAACCGCTACAACATTTTAGCCACCGGATCGCCAACGCACTTTCCATACAACACGAGACACTCTCCATCGGCCATCGATTTCGCTGTATACGCAGGGATCCGTCACAACCTGCTGAACGTCTGCTCCACGTACGATCTGGGCTCTGATCACCTCCCTCTTAAAATAGAAATACTCGGCTCTGTACCAATAACGCACTCCAAATGCCATATTCTTCCGTTGAACGCCAACATCAAAAAGTTTCAGGCACGGCTTAACGAACACATCCACCTCGACACCGAAATACAGTCAGGTGCGGACATAGATGACTGTGTACTAATATTCGAGAAAAACGTACAAGAAGCTGCCAACTATGCATCCAAACACCTCCAAACGCGGTTGTACAATGCCAGGGCCCACTACACTACAATCAACAGACAGATTTCAATGATGATCGAAGCTAAACGAATAATTAAAAGGCAAATAACTACAACGCGAGATCCACTCATCAGAGTAATATATAACCATCTCACGAACCGCATTCGAAAAGCACTAAAATCTGCTGAAGAGAGTAAAATGAACAGACTCTTACAATCCATGGACCCAGACAACAGGTACAACATGCAAAAACTATGGCGTATAACCAGCAATATTAAGAGGCAACCCATCCCCAATCTGCCAGTCAAGAAGTACGACAATACTACAGGCAGCAGTAGTGACCTATGGTGCAAGTCCACCGAGGAGAAGGCGGAGGCCTTCGGCCTGCATCTTGAAAACAGATTTACGCCAATCCTCACTGCATCGGCAGCTGATAGACGATATATTGAAGAGCAAACACAGCCCACTCTACCAACAAGAGCGGCCTCCTTCAGACAAATTTCTCTTGCCGAGGTCCAAAACGAAATTAAGCACCTAAAACAAAAGAAATCACCTGGAATAGACAACATCGATAATCGTACAATCAAACTGCTCCCGCAGTCAGCTGTGCAATACATCACAACGCTCTTCAATAAAATCCTTCAGTTCGGCCACTTCCCAAACAGATGGAAGCAAGCGGTAATCAAAATGATTCCGAAGCCCGGTAAACCACCTGCGCTGCTATCATCGTACAGACCTATTAGTCTTTTGTCGGGAATCTCAAAAATATTCGAGGCACTTCTGCTCAAACGGCTGTTCGAGGTTGATGACTTTGCAAACGCCCTCCCCGCCCACCAATTTGGTTTTCGAAAGGCACACGCAGCGGAACAGCAGCTAGGCAGAGTCACACAGTTCATCCTCAGAGCACTCGAGAACGGCTGCTACTGCTCGGCCGTATATCTTGACGTCCAAGAAGCGTTCGACCGTGTATGGCACGACGGCCTCTACTACAAACTGAGTAAAGTTTTACCAGATTCCTTATACAGATTGATTCGAGGTTACTTATCTCAAAGAACATTCACAGTCGAATGCAGCGGCGGTGTACGCTCTGGCAACAAACTCATCCGGGCTGGCGTTCCTCAGGGCAGCGTTCTGGGACCAGTTTTGTACAGCATCTACTCATCCGACATGCCGGTACCGCAAACTCAAACTGGTGATGGTCAGAAGGGGATGCTCCTGGCGACCTACGCCGACGACACGACAATCATGTCGGCACACAGATCAGACAGAGTTGCCATAATCACAATGAACAATTACCTGAATAGATTCTCTTCATGGGCCAAGAAGTGGTGCATACAAATCAACACCTCGAAAACAGCGCACGTGCTCCACACGCTGCGACGCACTGAATCGGCGCCTACGCCAATCCTGGAAGGCCACATACTCGCCAACAAACAAATGCACACATACCTGGGTGTATGTCTCGACGCTAAACTGCAGCTAAGCTCCCAAGTATCGGCAACAGTCTCCAAACTTAAGTCGAGGATCAAAAAGCTGCACTGGCTACTAAATAGCAACAGCAAACTGCCGCTTAAAACAAAGATTATCCTCTACAGGCAATTGATAGCACCAATATGGCAGTACACATTACCTGTCTGGGGCCCACTAGTCAGCCAGACGCACTTTGACAAGCTGCAGACTATTCAGAACAAAGTACTCAGACTAATAACAGGCGCTCCGTGGTATGTTAGCAATCGCACTCTGCACGCAGATTTGCGTATCCCATTAATCGAAAAAGTATATAGTAGTGCCTGCTCCAAATACACGAAGAGATTGTTAACACACTGTAATGCCGAGGCCAGGAAGTTGGCACTTTACCCGTACGTTCCGCAGCGACTAGCACGTCCAAGATATCTGCAAATGATAGACAGATGCCTGCCGCCACAAGAACGGCCTCCACCGCAGCAACCAGAGGCATCACCGCCGCGCGCTTATTTGCCCATGTTTGGACCACTCACTTTAAGGCAACACTTGCTTTATGGGCGCAGTGAAAGGCCCAGATTAACGCATCATCAGATTGCGGAACAACGCAGATTGGAACTGCAACGATACAGAGAGCAGGTGGCCCTCAGACGTGCGCGTATACTAAACGCAGCCCAAACTTCAGACAACGTGCTTTCTCCGGCTGTAACTGCAACAAATTCCAATTTAGACAACAACAGTACATTGCTTGTCTCGGGTATACTTGCAATTATCGACTTAACTGTTGACCAACTGCCATTAAGCGCTTCTGTCGAAGACTCGCAAATTCCCCAGCAAATTCGTCCCGAACATCTGGACCCTGATCCACTGATATTGCCACCGAGCCCAAATGAGCCTGGAAATAGAGAAAGGGCACTGATTAACACAGTTCAACACTATAACAACAACACCAACTACAGCACTGTGAGTGTCCTTCCCGGCCGCCATGGCCTGACGGCGGACAGCCAAAGCACAACTGCCATATTGCCGCCTGCGGCGACTGGTACGCCGACTGTGCACGATCCGGATGACGGAGTTACAGACAGGGACTCCTCGGCTCCCCAAATTGATGAGATCGACCACGCTCTGTGGTCCATGGCACTGCCAGCCACAAGCTCTAATGCTGGAAACATCATCGCTCAGACACTGCCGAGTTCCGTGGCAGCGGCAACGCCAGTGGCACAGAGTATGCTTCAGACAGGCCAGGCTGATGCCGAACAAACATCACCAGCCATTGTGCCACCTGCGGCAGGCTCCACAGCCGCTGCTGACAGGCACACAATTGCAACGACTGTTAACTCGAGTCCATCTGCAGTCAGCGATGAACTGGCTACTACACTGGACAGGTCGCCGCATGCTGTGGCAGATTCGCCTGGCCTGGCGGTGGCCACACTAACTTCACCAGCCATCTTGCCACGTGCGGCTGTAAACGCACCAAAGGCTCCCGAGCACAACGCCAGCTTCTCAGCACCAGGCCCTCTGGCTGCACTAATGCTTGTGACTCCAAATACATCTGGAAGAAGAAGGAAGCAAGACATTAATACAGCTCCAACACACAAGACAGGCACAGCTCACACAACCATCGAAGACCGCTGCTCTATGGAGACCGATCAGGCACCGTCAGTACTAGCGACACTCGCAGTCAACAAGGCACCCCCCGCTGTTGGACAGCAGGCAGGCCAGGCTGAGGCCGAACAAACATTAACAGCCATTGCGCCACCTGCGGCAGGCTCCACAACCGCTGCTGATAGGCACACAGTTGCAACGATTGTTAACTCGAGTCCATCTGCAGTCAGCGATGAACTGGCTTCTACACTGGACAGGTCGCCGCATGCAGTGGCAGAGTCGCCTGGCCTGTCGGTGGCCACACTTACTTCACCAGCCATCTTGCCACGTGCGGCTGTAAACGCTCCAAAGGCTCCCGAGCACAACGCCAGTTTCTCAGCACCAGGTCCTCTGGCTACACTAATATCTGTGACTCCAAATACATCTGAAAGAAGAAGGAAGCAAGACATTAATACAGCTCCGGCACGCAAGGCAGGCACAGCTTACACAACCATCGAAGACCGCTGCTTGATGGAGACCGATCAGGCACCGTCAGTACTAGCGACACTCGCAGTCAACAATGCACCCCCCGCTGTTGGACAGCAGGCAGGCCAGGTAGAGGCCGAACAAACATTAACAGCCATTGCGCAACCTGCGGCAGGCTCCACAGCCGCTGCTGATAGGCACACAATTGCAACGATTGTTAACTCGAGTCCATCTGCAGTCAGCGATGAACTGGCTTCTACACTGGACAGGTCGCCGCATGCTGTGGCAGATTCGCCTGGCCTGGCGGTGGCCACACTAACTTCACCAGCCATCTTGCCACGTGCGGCTGTAAACGCACCAAAGGCTCCCGAGCACAACGCCAGCTTCTCAGCACCAGGCCCTCTGGCTGCACTAATGCTTGTGACTCCAAATACATCTGGAAGAAGAAGGAAGCAAGACATTAATACAGCTCCAACACACAAGACAGGCACAGCTCACACAACCATCGAAGACCGCTGCTCAATGGAGACCGATCAGGCACCGTCAGTACTAGCGACACTCGCAGTCAACAAGGCACCCCCCGCTGTTGGACAGCAGGCAGGCCAGGCTGAGGCCGAACAAACATTAACAGCCATTGCGCCACCTGCGGCAGGCTCCACAACCGCTGCTGATAGGCACACAGTTGCAACGATTGTTAACTCGAGTCCATCTGCAGTCAGCGATGAACTGGCTTCTACACTGGACAGGTCGCCGCATGCAGTGGCAGAGTCGCCTGGCCTGTCGGTGGCCACACTTACTTCACCAGCCATCTTGCCACGTGCGGCTGTAAACGCTCCAAAGGCTCCCGAGCACAACGCCAGTTTCTCAGTACCAGGTCCTCTGGCTGCACTAATATCTGTGACTCCAAATACATCTGAAAGAAGAAGGAAGCAAGACATTAATACAGCTCCGGCACGCAAGGCAGGCACAGCTTACACAACCATCGAAGACCGCTGCTTGATGGAGACCGATCAGGCACCGTCAGTACTAGCGACACTCGCAGTCAACAATGCACCCCCCGCTGTTGGACAGCAGGCAGGCCAGGTAGAGGCCGAACAAACATCAACAGCCATTGCGCAACCTGCGGCAGGCTCCACAGCCGCTGCTGATAGGCACACAATTGCAACGATTGTTAACTCGAGTCCATCTGCAGTCAGCGATGAACTGGCTTCTACACTGGTCAGGTCGCCGCATGCAGTGGCAGAGTCGCCTGGCCTGGCGGTGGCCACACTTACTTCACCAGCCACCTTGCCACGTGCGGCTGTAAACGCCCCAAAGGCTCCCGAGCACAACGCCAGCTTCTCAGCACCAGGTCCTCTGGCTGCACTAATATCTGTGACTCCAAATACATCTGAAAGAAGAAGGAAGCAAGACATTAATACAGCTCCGACACACAAGACAGGCACAGCTCACACAACCATCGAAGACCGCTGCTCGATGGAGACCGATCAGGCACCGTCAGTAATAGCGACACTCGCAGTCAGCAAGACACTCCCCGCTGTTGGACAGCAGGCAGGCCAGGCTGAGGCCGAACAAACATTACCAGCCAATGCGCCACCTGCGGCAGGCTCCACAGCCGCTGCTGCTAGGCACACAATTGTAACGACTGTTAACACGAGTCCATCTGCAATCAGCGAAGAACGGGCTTCTACTCTGGACAGGTCGCCGCATGCTGAGGCAGAGTCGCCTGGACTGGCGGTGGCCACACTAACTAAACCAGCCATCTTGCCACGGGCGGCTGTAAACGCACCAAGGGCTCCCGAGCACAACGCTAGCTTCTCAGCACCAGGTCCTCTGGCTGCACTAATGTTAGTGACTCCAAATACAGCTGAAAGAAGAAGGAAGCAAAATATTAACAACAACAACAACATCAACAACAACGCTACTCACCAGACACCAGGCAACTCAGCACTAGCAGCAACTAGCCACTCCGCACACGCCACAACGCTAACTACGGCCGGCAGCACACCTTCCGACACATCAGACACAGAAGTGCTGGAAGCTGAGTGTTGCCTGCCATAATAAGGCTGTTGTAGTCTACTGGTCGCCTCCTAGTCGCGACCTCGTGAGCAACGTAAAATTGCCTCTGCTACTCGAAGCCTGAAGGCCAACTACACAACCTCTGCTGAAAATAAAACAAAAATTTTAAATATAAATAATTAACAACTACTACTACTTACCTTACATTAATAAAAATGTATACTTATAGTATAAGTTTTGACCAGTTAGAGCCAAAATTGTGGCGCCAACAAATTCAATTATAATGTCCACGATATCGATTGAATAAAGATGCTCATCCCCAGCTGTGCAATTCACCACTCCTGCTGGACAGGCAGAGGTGAAATCGCGCAAATGGGATAAGCTTAGTATTAGTGCGTCTTTCATGGCCACTAAGAAAGAAAAAAAAAAACCTTGCCACGTGCGGCTGTAAACGCCCCAAAGGCTCCCGAGCACAACGCCAGCTTCTCAGCACCAGGTCCTCTGGCTGCACTAATATCTGTGACTCCAAATACATCTGAAAGAAGAAGGAAGCAAGACATTAATACAGCTCCGACACACAAGACAGGCACAGCTCACACAACCATCGAAGACCGCTGCTCGATGGAGACCGATCAGGCACCGTCAGTAATAGCGACACTCGCAGTCAGCAAGACACTCCCCGCTGTTGGACAGCAGGCAGGCCAGGCTGAGGCCGAACAAACATTACCAGCCAATGCGCCACCTGCGGCAGGCTCCACAGCCGCTGCTGCTAGGCACACAATTGTAACGACTGTTAACACGAGTCCATCTGCAATCAGCGAAGAACGGGCTTCTACTCTGGACAGGTCGCCGCATGCTGAGGCAGAGTCGCCTGGACTGGCGGTGGCCACACTAACTAAACCAGCCATCTTGCCACGGGCGGCTGTAAACGCACCAAGGGCTCCCGAGCACAACGCTAGCTTCTCAGCACCAGGTCCTCTGGCTGCACTAATGTTAGTGACTCCAAATACAGCTGAAAGAAGAAGGAAGCAAAATATTAACAACAACAACAACATCAACAACAACGCTACTCACCAGACACCAGGCAACTCAGCACTAGCAGCAACTAGCCACTCCGCACACGCCACAACGCTAACTACGGCCGGCAGCACACCTTCCGACACATCAGACACAGAAGTGCTGGAAGCTGAGTGTTGCCTGCCATAATAAGGCTGTTGTAGTCTACTGGTCGCCTCCTAGTCGCGACCTCGTGAGCAACGTAAAATTGCCTCTGCTACTCGAAGCCTGAAGGCCAACTACACAACCTCTGCTGAAAATAAAACAAAAATTTTAAATATAAATAATTAACAACTACTACTACTTACCTTACATTAATAAAAATGTATACTTATAGTATAAGTTTTGACCAGTTAGAGCCAAAATTGTGGCGCCAACAAATTCAATTATAATGTCCACGATATCGATTGAATAAAGATGCTCATCCCCAGCTGTGCAATTCACCACTCCTGCTGGACAGGCAGAGGTGAAATCGCGCAAATGGGATAAGCTTAGTATTAGTGCGTCTTTCATGGCCACTAAGAAAGAAAAAAAAAATTAACTCGAGTCCATCTGCAGTCAGCGATGAACTGGCTTCTACACTGGACAGGTCGCCGCATGCAGTGGCAGAGTCGCCTGGCCTGTCGGTGGCCACACTTACTTCACCAGCCATCTTGCCACGTGCGGCTGTAAACGCTCCAAAGGCTCCCGAGCACAACGCCAGTTTCTCAGCACCAGGTCCTCTGGCTACACTAATATCTGTGACTCCAAATACATCTGAAAGAAGAAGGAAGCAAGACATTAATACAGCTCCGGCACGCAAGGCAGGCACAGCTTACACAACCATCGAAGACCGCTGCTTGATGGAGACCGATCAGGCACCGTCAGTACTAGCGACACTCGCAGTCAACAATGCACCCCCCGCTGTTGGACAGCAGGCAGGCCAGGTAGAGGCCGAACAAACATTAACAGCCATTGCGCAACCTGCGGCAGGCTCCACAGCCGCTGCTGATAGGCACACAATTGCAACGATTGTTAACTCGAGTCCATCTGCAGTCAGCGATGAACTGGCTTCTACACTGGACAGGTCGCCGCATGCTGTGGCAGATTCGCCTGGCCTGGCGGTGGCCACACTAACTTCACCAGCCATCTTGCCACGTGCGGCTGTAAACGCACCAAAGGCTCCCGAGCACAACGCCAGCTTCTCAGCACCAGGCCCTCTGGCTGCACTAATGCTTGTGACTCCAAATACATCTGGAAGAAGAAGGAAGCAAGACATTAATACAGCTCCAACACACAAGACAGGCACAGCTCACACAACCATCGAAGACCGCTGCTCAATGGAGACCGATCAGGCACCGTCAGTACTAGCGACACTCGCAGTCAACAAGGCACCCCCCGCTGTTGGACAGCAGGCAGGCCAGGCTGAGGCCGAACAAACATTAACAGCCATTGCGCCACCTGCGGCAGGCTCCACAACCGCTGCTGATAGGCACACAGTTGCAACGATTGTTAACTCGAGTCCATCTGCAGTCAGCGATGAACTGGCTTCTACACTGGACAGGTCGCCGCATGCAGTGGCAGAGTCGCCTGGCCTGTCGGTGGCCACACTTACTTCACCAGCCATCTTGCCACGTGCGGCTGTAAACGCTCCAAAGGCTCCCGAGCACAACGCCAGTTTCTCAGTACCAGGTCCTCTGGCTGCACTAATATCTGTGACTCCAAATACATCTGAAAGAAGAAGGAAGCAAGACATTAATACAGCTCCGGCACGCAAGGCAGGCACAGCTTACACAACCATCGAAGACCGCTGCTTGATGGAGACCGATCAGGCACCGTCAGTACTAGCGACACTCGCAGTCAACAATGCACCCCCCGCTGTTGGACAGCAGGCAGGCCAGGTAGAGGCCGAACAAACATCAACAGCCATTGCGCAACCTGCGGCAGGCTCCACAGCCGCTGCTGATAGGCACACAATTGCAACGATTGTTAACTCGAGTCCATCTGCAGTCAGCGATGAACTGGCTTCTACACTGGTCAGGTCGCCGCATGCAGTGGCAGAGTCGCCTGGCCTGGCGGTGGCCACACTTACTTCACCAGCCACCTTGCCACGTGCGGCTGTAAACGCCCCAAAGGCTCCCGAGCACAACGCCAGCTTCTCAGCACCAGGTCCTCTGGCTGCACTAATATCTGTGACTCCAAATACATCTGAAAGAAGAAGGAAGCAAGACATTAATACAGCTCCGACACACAAGACAGGCACAGCTCACACAACCATCGAAGACCGCTGCTCGATGGAGACCGATCAGGCACCGTCAGTAATAGCGACACTCGCAGTCAGCAAGACACTCCCCGCTGTTGGACAGCAGGCAGGCCAGGCTGAGGCCGAACAAACATTACCAGCCAATGCGCCACCTGCGGCAGGCTCCACAGCCGCTGCTGCTAGGCACACAATTGTAACGACTGTTAACACGAGTCCATCTGCAATCAGCGAAGAACGGGCTTCTACTCTGGACAGGTCGCCGCATGCTGAGGCAGAGTCGCCTGGACTGGCGGTGGCCACACTAACTAAACCAGCCATCTTGCCACGGGCGGCTGTAAACGCACCAAGGGCTCCCGAGCACAACGCTAGCTTCTCAGCACCAGGTCCTCTGGCTGCACTAATGTTAGTGACTCCAAATACAGCTGAAAGAAGAAGGAAGCAAAATATTAACAACAACAACAACATCAACAACAACGCTACTCACCAGACACCAGGCAACTCAGCACTAGCAGCAACTAGCCACTCCGCACACGCCACAACGCTAACTACGGCCGGCAGCACACCTTCCGACACATCAGACACAGAAGTGCTGGAAGCTGAGTGTTGCCTGCCATAATAAGGCTGTTGTAGTCTACTGGTCGCCTCCTAGTCGCGACCTCGTGAGCAACGTAAAATTGCCTCTGCTACTCGAAGCCTGAAGGCCAACTACACAACCTCTGCTGAAAATAAAACAAAAATTTTAAATATAAATAATTAACAACTACTACTACTTACCTTACATTAATAAAAATGTATACTTATAGTATAAGTTTTGACCAGTTAGAGCCAAAATTGTGGCGCCAACAAATTCAATTATAATGTCCACGATATCGATTGAATAAAGATGCTCATCCCCAGCTGTGCAATTCACCACTCCTGCTGGACAGGCAGAGGTGAAATCGCGCAAATGGGATAAGCTTAGTATTAGTGCGTCTTTCATGGCCACTAAGAAAGAAAAAAATCCCCAGCAAATTCGTCCCGAACATCTGGACCCTGATCCACTGATATTGCCACCGAGCCCAAATGAGCCTGGAAATAGAGAAAGGGCACTGATTAACACAGTTCAACACTATAACAACAACACCAACTACAGCACTGTGAGTGTCCTTCCCGGCCGCCATGGCCTGACGGCGGACAGCCAAAGCACAACTGCCATATTGCCGCCTGCGGCGACTGGTACGCCGACTGTGCACGATCCGGATGACGGAGTTACAGACAGGGACTCCTCGGCTCCCCAAATTGATGAGATCGACCACGCTCTGTGGTCCATGGCACTGCCAGCCACAAGCTCTAATGCTGGAAACATCATCGCTCAGACACTGCCGAGTTCCGTGGCAGCGGCAACGCCAGTGGCACAGAGTATGCTTCAGACAGGCCAGGCTGATGCCGAACAAACATCACCAGCCATTGTGCCACCTGCGGCAGGCTCCACAGCCGCTGCTGACAGGCACACAATTGCAACGACTGTTAACTCGAGTCCATCTGCAGTCAGCGATGAACTGGCTACTACACTGGACAGGTCGCCGCATGCTGTGGCAGATTCGCCTGGCCTGGCGGTGGCCACACTAACTTCACCAGCCATCTTGCCACGTGCGGCTGTAAACGCACCAAAGGCTCCCGAGCACAACGCCAGCTTCTCAGCACCAGGCCCTCTGGCTGCACTAATGCTTGTGACTCCAAATACATCTGGAAGAAGAAGGAAGCAAGACATTAATACAGCTCCAACACACAAGACAGGCACAGCTCACACAACCATCGAAGACCGCTGCTCTATGGAGACCGATCAGGCACCGTCAGTACTAGCGACACTCGCAGTCAACAAGGCACCCCCCGCTGTTGGACAGCAGGCAGGCCAGGCTGAGGCCGAACAAACATTAACAGCCATTGCGCCACCTGCGGCAGGCTCCACAACCGCTGCTGATAGGCACACAGTTGCAACGATTGTTAACTCGAGTCCATCTGCAGTCAGCGATGAACTGGCTTCTACACTGGACAGGTCGCCGCATGCAGTGGCAGAGTCGCCTGGCCTGTCGGTGGCCACACTTACTTCACCAGCCATCTTGCCACGTGCGGCTGTAAACGCTCCAAAGGCTCCCGAGCACAACGCCAGTTTCTCAGCACCAGGTCCTCTGGCTACACTAATATCTGTGACTCCAAATACATCTGAAAGAAGAAGGAAGCAAGACATTAATACAGCTCCGGCACGCAAGGCAGGCACAGCTTACACAACCATCGAAGACCGCTGCTTGATGGAGACCGATCAGGCACCGTCAGTACTAGCGACACTCGCAGTCAACAATGCACCCCCCGCTGTTGGACAGCAGGCAGGCCAGGTAGAGGCCGAACAAACATTAACAGCCATTGCGCAACCTGCGGCAGGCTCCACAGCCGCTGCTGATAGGCACACAATTGCAACGATTGTTAACTCGAGTCCATCTGCAGTCAGCGATGAACTGGCTTCTACACTGGACAGGTCGCCGCATGCTGTGGCAGATTCGCCTGGCCTGGCGGTGGCCACACTAACTTCACCAGCCATCTTGCCACGTGCGGCTGTAAACGCACCAAAGGCTCCCGAGCACAACGCCAGCTTCTCAGCACCAGGCCCTCTGGCTGCACTAATGCTTGTGACTCCAAATACATCTGGAAGAAGAAGGAAGCAAGACATTAATACAGCTCCAACACACAAGACAGGCACAGCTCACACAACCATCGAAGACCGCTGCTCAATGGAGACCGATCAGGCACCGTCAGTACTAGCGACACTCGCAGTCAACAAGGCACCCCCCGCTGTTGGACAGCAGGCAGGCCAGGCTGAGGCCGAACAAACATTAACAGCCATTGCGCCACCTGCGGCAGGCTCCACAACCGCTGCTGATAGGCACACAGTTGCAACGATTGTTAACTCGAGTCCATCTGCAGTCAGCGATGAACTGGCTTCTACACTGGACAGGTCGCCGCATGCAGTGGCAGAGTCGCCTGGCCTGTCGGTGGCCACACTTACTTCACCAGCCATCTTGCCACGTGCGGCTGTAAACGCTCCAAAGGCTCCCGAGCACAACGCCAGTTTCTCAGTACCAGGTCCTCTGGCTGCACTAATATCTGTGACTCCAAATACATCTGAAAGAAGAAGGAAGCAAGACATTAATACAGCTCCGGCACGCAAGGCAGGCACAGCTTACACAACCATCGAAGACCGCTGCTTGATGGAGACCGATCAGGCACCGTCAGTACTAGCGACACTCGCAGTCAACAATGCACCCCCCGCTGTTGGACAGCAGGCAGGCCAGGTAGAGGCCGAACAAACATCAACAGCCATTGCGCAACCTGCGGCAGGCTCCACAGCCGCTGCTGATAGGCACACAATTGCAACGATTGTTAACTCGAGTCCATCTGCAGTCAGCGATGAACTGGCTTCTACACTGGTCAGGTCGCCGCATGCAGTGGCAGAGTCGCCTGGCCTGGCGGTGGCCACACTTACTTCACCAGCCACCTTGCCACGTGCGGCTGTAAACGCCCCAAAGGCTCCCGAGCACAACGCCAGCTTCTCAGCACCAGGTCCTCTGGCTGCACTAATATCTGTGACTCCAAATACATCTGAAAGAAGAAGGAAGCAAGACATTAATACAGCTCCGACACACAAGACAGGCACAGCTCACACAACCATCGAAGACCGCTGCTCGATGGAGACCGATCAGGCACCGTCAGTAATAGCGACACTCGCAGTCAGCAAGACACTCCCCGCTGTTGGACAGCAGGCAGGCCAGGCTGAGGCCGAACAAACATTACCAGCCAATGCGCCACCTGCGGCAGGCTCCACAGCCGCTGCTGCTAGGCACACAATTGTAACGACTGTTAACACGAGTCCATCTGCAATCAGCGAAGAACGGGCTTCTACTCTGGACAGGTCGCCGCATGCTGAGGCAGAGTCGCCTGGACTGGCGGTGGCCACACTAACTAAACCAGCCATCTTGCCACGGGCGGCTGTAAACGCACCAAGGGCTCCCGAGCACAACGCTAGCTTCTCAGCACCAGGTCCTCTGGCTGCACTAATGTTAGTGACTCCAAATACAGCTGAAAGAAGAAGGAAGCAAAATATTAACAACAACAACAACATCAACAACAACGCTACTCACCAGACACCAGGCAACTCAGCACTAGCAGCAACTAGCCACTCCGCACACGCCACAACGCTAACTACGGCCGGCAGCACACCTTCCGACACATCAGACACAGAAGTGCTGGAAGCTGAGTGTTGCCTGCCATAATAAGGCTGTTGTAGTCTACTGGTCGCCTCCTAGTCGCGACCTCGTGAGCAACGTAAAATTGCCTCTGCTACTCGAAGCCTGAAGGCCAACTACACAACCTCTGCTGAAAATAAAACAAAAATTTTAAATATAAATAATTAACAACTACTACTACTTACCTTACATTAATAAAAATGTATACTTATAGTATAAGTTTTGACCAGTTAGAGCCAAAATTGTGGCGCCAACAAATTCAATTATAATGTCCACGATATCGATTGAATAAAGATGCTCATCCCCAGCTGTGCAATTCACCACTCCTGCTGGACAGGCAGAGGTGAAATCGCGCAAATGGGATAAGCTTAGTATTAGTGCGTCTTTCATGGCCACTAAGAAAGAAAAAAATTATAAGTTTTGTGAAATAGAAAAACCCGCACGTGGTAATAAATTACGCCATTAAGGCGAGTGGCTCTCACGCCTTGCCTCTCTCATCTTTTAAGAGAGGCAACACGCATAGTGTCATTAAGCAATCTATCGATAGGACGATACTAAGTGATCACGCTGTTAAGTGCACGCTGCTAATAACATCAAACTGCTAATAACTAGCATAAACATCCCTCTACAATCTTTCTGCCAACGCACTGCCAATTAACATCATCTAAACTTGAGAGTGCAAATAACATATCTCATCAAATCGCGCGTACTCAACACTAGTACGACTTAACATCACTCAACAATACCTCCAAATCATAAGCCGCTGAATTAAAAGAAAATGAATCCAGCCACCATTACAGTGGATGACGACCAAATGGACGACGACATAGACGTTGAAATGCTAGAATCAACACAGGAATTGTGGAAATTCCCCAAGCCGACGTCAAATAACTCTGAGATTACCTCACAGCAGCCGAGCACATCCAGTGCAGCTGCTGCTGCTAATGCCAACAAAGCTGTTCCAACAGCTGCCACCAAACAGCAGACGCTGTACGATTTGATGAACCAACACGAGACGCTTAAGCAAAAACTGCAAACGCCAAAAAGAGCCAGCAAGAGGCTGACGAAGGAAAAACCCGTTGCTAGCCAAAAGAAAAAGACACCAAACCCCGAGTCCGGTGCTACTGAAACTCCCGCCGACAATCAAGCTCGCACTCCAAGTAACCGCTTCAGGTCGCTGGCAGAAGAACTCGAGATGAACATCTCGGATATTGACGACAGTGAAGAGGACGACTCGATCGGACAATTAGCACCCACTAGCAATGCTGCTAAAGCCACTACAGCCGCCGAAGCTGCAGACGTGACCACGTCTAACGCTGCTGCAGCTCCAAATACAGCTGCTGCTCCTGCTCCCACAGGCTCAAGAGCTGCCAAATTCTCTCGAACGGCAAAACCAAAACCGATTCTTATTCCCGAAGTCAACGACATTATGCCGATCATAGAGGGAATCAACAACGTCATTGGAGATAACTATGTCACTAAACCCACGGCTAAGCAGGGACTGAGAATTCAGTGTAACGATGTCGACTCGTACCGTAAGTTGGTACACCATTTTCAAGAAAACCAGATACAATGCCACACTTACCAGCTTGAGCACGAGCGCGGATTCAGGGCAGTTATTCGATACCTCCACAAATCCACGCCAATGGATTGGATCCGCACCAGGCTGGCTGACCTTGGCTTTAAAGTGCGCTACCTAGATGTAATCAAGAAGCGCTACACCAGGGAACCATTGGACCTCTTCGAAGTTGAGTTCGAGCAAGCCGAAAACATACTTGACGTGCTAAAACTTAATAAGCTGGGCAACCAACAAATTGTCGTAGAACGTCCGCTGCGCTCAACAGAAGTAGCCCAGTGCCATAGATGTCAGCAATTCGGGCACACAAAAAACTACTGCCGCCGGCCTTTTGTGTGTGTCAAGTGCGCTGGAGCCCACCAATCCACAGCCTGCCTAAAAGAAGCTGGTGAGAAACCAAAATGCGCAAACTGTAAGGGCCAGCACGCAGCCAGCTACCGAGGATGCCAGATATACAAAAACGCCTGCAAAACTAAAGAACCCCAGAGCATTGCCCGTGCTAACCATATACTTAACGAACTGGGCATTCCACAAATCCATTCCAGTCGCCAACAACAGCGCCTACCACAAGCGCAGCAGCAAATCCACCAGCAGCACCAAACTGCGCAAAATACTCCAGCTCCTATACAAAAGCTACTAGCTGCGCCCAGGATTACTCCGAGCCAGCAGCCTCAACAAACGGAGCACCATATAAACAGAGCAGCCTTCTCCAGCTATGCGGCAGCAGCTAAAAACACGCTCCAACAAAGGGATCCCAGGCAACGCCTAGCCAGACGAGAACAGGCACTGCCTGAGCCACTCTCTGCTGACCAAAACAATCCGACGCCACTGAAACGGCCAGCTCTTAGAAGCCGAAGTCGCAGTGTTCAGCGCAGTACCCAAAGTCTAATACAGAACCATGTGAACGACAATCTTATCCAGAAGCTAGACACATTAACAGCCATTATCATTGAGGACCGAGAGCAACGAATGACCGCCAACGCACCATCAGGCTTCGCTAAGCTCGAACGCAAGATTGACCAACTAATGGACGTCCTCATCACAGTGGTCTCCAGCCTCCAGCCCAGGCAGCAAGCCAATGGCGCTCACAATGCTTAGACATCCACCCACTACTAATACAGCCCCAACAGCAACTCCAAACGATAATACCCTTTTAAAAATCATCTCTTGGAATGCCGCTGGGCTCACAAACAAACTGCACGAAATGAAAACATTTATTAAAGAACACAATGTGGACATTATGCTGGTTACCGAAACTCACCTGTTGGACACTGACTCAATCAACGTCAACGGATATGATATGTACACAGTCAATCATCCTTCAAATCGCAGGCGCGGGGGTGCCGCAACACTTATAAAACGCTCGATCCGACACATGGCTCTGCCGTCCATAGCCTCACCACGGATACAATGCTCCAACGTTGCTGTTGCCCTCCAAGACGGCTCCTCAATAAACATCTCCGCAGTGTACCTCCCGCCGCTCAACGAATGGTCAACTGACGACTTCCACAATCTGCTAAATGGACTAGGAGAAAAGTTTTTGATAGCCGGCGATTGGAACGCCAAAAGCCGCTGGTGGGGCAACGCCCGTTCCTGCAGGAGAGGCACTGCACTTCTGCAATGTATACAGCAGAACCGCTACAACATTTTAGCCACCGGATCGCCAACGCACTTTCCATACAACACGAGACACTCTCCATCGGCCATCGATTTCGCTGTATACGCAGGGATCCGTCACAACCTGCTGAACGTCTGCTCCACGTACGATCTGGGCTCTGATCACCTCCCTCTTAAAATAGAAATACTCGGCTCTGTACCAATAACGCACTCCAAATGCCATATTCTTCCGTTGAACGCCAACATCAAAAAGTTTCAGGCACGGCTTAACGAACACATCCACCTCGACACCGAAATACAGTCAGGTGCGGACATAGATGACTGTGTACTAATATTCGAGAAAAACGTACAAGAAGCTGCCAACTATGCATCCAAACACCTCCAAACGCGGTTGTACAATGCCAGGGCCCACTACACTACAATCAACAGACAGATTTCAATGATGATCGAAGCTAAACGAATAATTAAAAGGCAAATAACTACAACGCGAGATCCACTCATCAGAGTAATATATAACCATCTCACGAACCGCATTCGAAAAGCACTAAAATCTGCTGAAGAGAGTAAAATGAACAGACTCTTACAATCCATGGACCCAGACAACAGGTACAACATGCAAAAACTATGGCGTATAACCAGCAATATTAAGAGGCAACCCATCCCCAATCTGCCAGTCAAGAAGTACGACAATACTACAGGCAGCAGTAGTGACCTATGGTGCAAGTCCACCGAGGAGAAGGCGGAGGCCTTCGGCCTGCATCTTGAAAACAGATTTACGCCAATCCTCACTGCATCGGCAGCTGATAGACGATATATTGAAGAGCAAACACAGCCCACTCTACCAACAAGAGCGGCCTCCTTCAGACAAATTTCTCTTGCCGAGGTCCAAAACGAAATTAAGCACCTAAAACAAAAGAAATCACCTGGAATAGACAACATCGATAATCGTACAATCAAACTGCTCCCGCAGTCAGCTGTGCAATACATCACAACGCTCTTCAATAAAATCCTTCAGTTCGGCCACTTCCCAAACAGATGGAAGCAAGCGGTAATCAAAATGATTCCGAAGCCCGGTAAACCACCTGCGCTGCTATCATCGTACAGACCTATTAGTCTTTTGTCGGGAATCTCAAAAATATTCGAGGCACTTCTGCTCAAACGGCTGTTCGAGGTTGATGACTTTGCAAACGCCCTCCCCGCCCACCAATTTGGTTTTCGAAAGGCACACGCAGCGGAACAGCAGCTAGGCAGAGTCACACAGTTCATCCTCAGAGCACTCGAGAACGGCTGCTACTGCTCGGCCGTATATCTTGACGTCCAAGAAGCGTTCGACCGTGTATGGCACGACGGCCTCTACTACAAACTGAGTAAAGTTTTACCAGATTCCTTATACAGATTGATTCGAGGTTACTTATCTCAAAGAACATTCACAGTCGAATGCAGCGGCGGTGTACGCTCTGGCAACAAACTCATCCGGGCTGGCGTTCCTCAGGGCAGCGTTCTGGGACCAGTTTTGTACAGCATCTACTCATCCGACATGCCGGTACCGCAAACTCAAACTGGTGATGGTCAGAAGGGGATGCTCCTGGCGACCTACGCCGACGACACGACAATCATGTCGGCACACAGATCAGACAGAGTTGCCATAATCACAATGAACAATTACCTGAATAGATTCTCTTCATGGGCCAAGAAGTGGTGCATACAAATCAACACCTCGAAAACAGCGCACGTGCTCCACACGCTGCGACGCACTGAATCGGCGCCTACGCCAATCCTGGAAGGCCACATACTCGCCAACAAACAAATGCACACATACCTGGGTGTATGTCTCGACGCTAAACTGCAGCTAAGCTCCCAAGTATCGGCAACAGTCTCCAAACTTAAGTCGAGGATCAAAAAGCTGCACTGGCTACTAAATAGCAACAGCAAACTGCCGCTTAAAACAAAGATTATCCTCTACAGGCAATTGATAGCACCAATATGGCAGTACACATTACCTGTCTGGGGCCCACTAGTCAGCCAGACGCACTTTGACAAGCTGCAGACTATTCAGAACAAAGTACTCAGACTAATAACAGGCGCTCCGTGGTATGTTAGCAATCGCACTCTGCACGCAGATTTGCGTATCCCATTAATCGAAAAAGTATATAGTAGTGCCTGCTCCAAATACACGAAGAGATTGTTAACACACTGTAATGCCGAGGCCAGGAAGTTGGCACTTTACCCGTACGTTCCGCAGCGACTAGCACGTCCAAGATATCTGCAAATGATAGACAGATGCCTGCCGCCACAAGAACGGCCTCCACCGCAGCAACCAGAGGCATCACCGCCGCGCGCTTATTTGCCCATGTTTGGACCACTCACTTTAAGGCAACACTTGCTTTATGGGCGCAGTGAAAGGCCCAGATTAACGCATCATCAGATTGCGGAACAACGCAGATTGGAACTGCAACGATACAGAGAGCAGGTGGCCCTCAGACGTGCGCGTATACTAAACGCAGCCCAAACTTCAGACAACGTGCTTTCTCCGGCTGTAACTGCAACAAATTCCAATTTAGACAACAACAGTACATTGCTTGTCTCGGGTATACTTGCAATTATCGACTTAACTGTTGACCAACTGCCATTAAGCGCTTCTGTCGAAGACTCGCAAATTCCCCAGCAAATTCGTCCCGAACATCTGGACCCTGATCCACTGATATTGCCACCGAGCCCAAATGAGCCTGGAAATAGAGAAAGGGCACTGATTAACACAGTTCAACACTATAACAACAACACCAACTACAGCACTGTGAGTGTCCTTCCCGGCCGCCATGGCCTGACGGCGGACAGCCAAAGCACAACTGCCATATTGCCGCCTGCGGCGACTGGTACGCCGACTGTGCACGATCCGGATGACGGAGTTACAGACAGGGACTCCTCGGCTCCCCAAATTGATGAGATCGACCACGCTCTGTGGTCCATGGCACTGCCAGCCACAAGCTCTAATGCTGGAAACATCATCGCTCAGACACTGCCGAGTTCCGTGGCAGCGGCAACGCCAGTGGCACAGAGTATGCTTCAGACAGGCCAGGCTGATGCCGAACAAACATCACCAGCCATTGTGCCACCTGCGGCAGGCTCCACAGCCGCTGCTGACAGGCACACAATTGCAACGACTGTTAACTCGAGTCCATCTGCAGTCAGCGATGAACTGGCTACTACACTGGACAGGTCGCCGCATGCTGTGGCAGATTCGCCTGGCCTGGCGGTGGCCACACTAACTTCACCAGCCATCTTGCCACGTGCGGCTGTAAACGCACCAAAGGCTCCCGAGCACAACGCCAGCTTCTCAGCACCAGGCCCTCTGGCTGCACTAATGCTTGTGACTCCAAATACATCTGGAAGAAGAAGGAAGCAAGACATTAATACAGCTCCAACACACAAGACAGGCACAGCTCACACAACCATCGAAGACCGCTGCTCTATGGAGACCGATCAGGCACCGTCAGTACTAGCGACACTCGCAGTCAACAAGGCACCCCCCGCTGTTGGACAGCAGGCAGGCCAGGCTGAGGCCGAACAAACATTAACAGCCATTGCGCCACCTGCGGCAGGCTCCACAACCGCTGCTGATAGGCACACAGTTGCAACGATTGTTAACTCGAGTCCATCTGCAGTCAGCGATGAACTGGCTTCTACACTGGACAGGTCGCCGCATGCAGTGGCAGAGTCGCCTGGCCTGTCGGTGGCCACACTTACTTCACCAGCCATCTTGCCACGTGCGGCTGTAAACGCTCCAAAGGCTCCCGAGCACAACGCCAGTTTCTCAGCACCAGGTCCTCTGGCTACACTAATATCTGTGACTCCAAATACATCTGAAAGAAGAAGGAAGCAAGACATTAATACAGCTCCGGCACGCAAGGCAGGCACAGCTTACACAACCATCGAAGACCGCTGCTTGATGGAGACCGATCAGGCACCGTCAGTACTAGCGACACTCGCAGTCAACAATGCACCCCCCGCTGTTGGACAGCAGGCAGGCCAGGTAGAGGCCGAACAAACATTAACAGCCATTGCGCAACCTGCGGCAGGCTCCACAGCCGCTGCTGATAGGCACACAATTGCAACGATTGTTAACTCGAGTCCATCTGCAGTCAGCGATGAACTGGCTTCTACACTGGACAGGTCGCCGCATGCTGTGGCAGATTCGCCTGGCCTGGCGGTGGCCACACTAACTTCACCAGCCATCTTGCCACGTGCGGCTGTAAACGCACCAAAGGCTCCCGAGCACAACGCCAGCTTCTCAGCACCAGGCCCTCTGGCTGCACTAATGCTTGTGACTCCAAATACATCTGGAAGAAGAAGGAAGCAAGACATTAATACAGCTCCAACACACAAGACAGGCACAGCTCACACAACCATCGAAGACCGCTGCTCAATGGAGACCGATCAGGCACCGTCAGTACTAGCGACACTCGCAGTCAACAAGGCACCCCCCGCTGTTGGACAGCAGGCAGGCCAGGCTGAGGCCGAACAAACATTAACAGCCATTGCGCCACCTGCGGCAGGCTCCACAACCGCTGCTGATAGGCACACAGTTGCAACGATTGTTAACTCGAGTCCATCTGCAGTCAGCGATGAACTGGCTTCTACACTGGACAGGTCGCCGCATGCAGTGGCAGAGTCGCCTGGCCTGTCGGTGGCCACACTTACTTCACCAGCCATCTTGCCACGTGCGGCTGTAAACGCTCCAAAGGCTCCCGAGCACAACGCCAGTTTCTCAGTACCAGGTCCTCTGGCTGCACTAATATCTGTGACTCCAAATACATCTGAAAGAAGAAGGAAGCAAGACATTAATACAGCTCCGGCACGCAAGGCAGGCACAGCTTACACAACCATCGAAGACCGCTGCTTGATGGAGACCGATCAGGCACCGTCAGTACTAGCGACACTCGCAGTCAACAATGCACCCCCCGCTGTTGGACAGCAGGCAGGCCAGGTAGAGGCCGAACAAACATCAACAGCCATTGCGCAACCTGCGGCAGGCTCCACAGCCGCTGCTGATAGGCACACAATTGCAACGATTGTTAACTCGAGTCCATCTGCAGTCAGCGATGAACTGGCTTCTACACTGGTCAGGTCGCCGCATGCAGTGGCAGAGTCGCCTGGCCTGGCGGTGGCCACACTTACTTCACCAGCCACCTTGCCACGTGCGGCTGTAAACGCCCCAAAGGCTCCCGAGCACAACGCCAGCTTCTCAGCACCAGGTCCTCTGGCTGCACTAATATCTGTGACTCCAAATACATCTGAAAGAAGAAGGAAGCAAGACATTAATACAGCTCCGACACACAAGACAGGCACAGCTCACACAACCATCGAAGACCGCTGCTCGATGGAGACCGATCAGGCACCGTCAGTAATAGCGACACTCGCAGTCAGCAAGACACTCCCCGCTGTTGGACAGCAGGCAGGCCAGGCTGAGGCCGAACAAACATTACCAGCCAATGCGCCACCTGCGGCAGGCTCCACAGCCGCTGCTGCTAGGCACACAATTGTAACGACTGTTAACACGAGTCCATCTGCAATCAGCGAAGAACGGGCTTCTACTCTGGACAGGTCGCCGCATGCTGAGGCAGAGTCGCCTGGACTGGCGGTGGCCACACTAACTAAACCAGCCATCTTGCCACGGGCGGCTGTAAACGCACCAAGGGCTCCCGAGCACAACGCTAGCTTCTCAGCACCAGGTCCTCTGGCTGCACTAATGTTAGTGACTCCAAATACAGCTGAAAGAAGAAGGAAGCAAAATATTAACAACAACAACAACATCAACAACAACGCTACTCACCAGACACCAGGCAACTCAGCACTAGCAGCAACTAGCCACTCCGCACACGCCACAACGCTAACTACGGCCGGCAGCACACCTTCCGACACATCAGACACAGAAGTGCTGGAAGCTGAGTGTTGCCTGCCATAATAAGGCTGTTGTAGTCTACTGGTCGCCTCCTAGTCGCGACCTCGTGAGCAACGTAAAATTGCCTCTGCTACTCGAAGCCTGAAGGCCAACTACACAACCTCTGCTGAAAATAAAACAAAAATTTTAAATATAAATAATTAACAACTACTACTACTTACCTTACATTAATAAAAATGTATACTTATAGTATAAGTTTTGACCAGTTAGAGCCAAAATTGTGGCGCCAACAAATTCAATTATAATGTCCACGATATCGATTGAATAAAGATGCTCATCCCCAGCTGTGCAATTCACCACTCCTGCTGGACAGGCAGAGGTGAAATCGCGCAAATGGGATAAGCTTAGTATTAGTGCGTCTTTCATGGCCACTAAGAAAGAAAAAAAAATACATCACGATTTTTATCAAAATCGGGTTCGGTTCGAAAATACAACCTTTTTTGATGATTTTTTTGAATATCTTGGCCAAACAGTGTCAGATTTTCAAATTTTATACCATTTTGGACTCGTAAGGATGAGTACTAACGACTGGCATCAAAAAATAGAAAATCTAAATTTTGACCCAAAACGACCAAAATGGCAAGGGGTTACATCACGATATTTATCAAAATCGGGTTCAGTTCGAAAATCAAACCTTTTTTGATGATTTTTTTGAATATCTTGGCCAAACAGTGTCCGATTTTCAAATTTTATACCATTTTGGACTCGTAAGGATGAGTACTAACGACTGGCATCAAAAAATAGAAAATCTAAATTTTGACCCAAAACGACCAAAATGGCAAGGGGTTACATCACGATTTTTATCAAAATCGGGTTCGGTTCGAAAATACAACCTTTTTTGATGATTTTTTTGAATATCTCGGCCAAATAGTGTCCGATTTTCAAATTTTATATCATTTTGGACTCGTAAGGATGAGTACTAACGACTGGCATCAAAAAATATAAAATCTAAATTTTGACCCAAATCGACCAAAATGGCAAGGGGTTACATCACGATTTTTATCAAAATCGGGTTCGGTTCGAAAATACAACCTGTTTTGATAATTTTTTTGAATATCTCGGCCAAATAGTGTCCGATTTTTAAATTTTATACCATTTTGGACTCGTAAGGATGAGTACTAACGACTGGCATCAAAAAATATAAAATCTAAATTTTGACCCAAAACGACCAAAATGGCAAGGGGTTACATCACGATATTTATCAAAATCGGGTTCGGTTCGAAAATCAAACCTTTTTTGATGATTTTTTTGAATATCTTGGCCAAACAGTGTCCGATTTTCAAATTTTATACCATTTTGGACTCGTAAGGATGAGTACTAACGACTGGCATCAAAAAATAGAAAATCTAAATTTTGACCCAAAACGACCAAAATGGCAAGGGGTTACATCACGATTTTTATCAAAATCGGGTTCGGTTCGAAAATACAACCTTTTTTGATGATTTTTTTGAATATCTCGGCCAAATAGTGTCCGATTTTCAAATTTTATATCATTTTGGACTCGTAAGGATGAGTACTAACGACTGGCATCAAAAAATAGAAAATCTAAATTTTGACCCAAAACGACCAAAATGGCAAGGGGTTACATCACGATATTTATCAAAATCGGGTTCGGTTCGAAAATCAAACCTTTTTTGAAGATTTTTTTGAATATCTTGGCCAAACAGTGTCCGATTTTCAAATTTTATACCATTTTGGACTCGTAAGGATAGTACTAACGACTGGCATCAAAAAATAGAAAATCTAAATTTTGACCCAAAACGACCAAAATGGCAAGGGGTTACATCACGATTTTTATCAAAATCAGGTTCGGTTCGAAAATACAACCTTTTTTGATGATTTTTTTGAATATCTCGGCAAAATAGTGTCCGATTTTCAAATTTTATACCATTTTGGACTCGTAAGGATGAGTACTAACGACTGGCATCAAAAAATAGAAAATCTAAATTTTGACCCAAAACGACCAAAATGGCAAGGGGTTACATCACGATTTTTATCAAAATCGGGTTCGGTTCGAAAATACAACCTGTTTTGATAATTTTTTTGAATATCTCGGCCAAATAGTGTCCGATTTTCAAATTTTATACCATTTTGGACTCGTAAGGATGAGTACTAACGACTGGCATCAAAAAATAGAAAATCTAAATTTTGACCCAAAACGACCAAAATGGCAAGGGGTTACATCACGATATTTATCAAAATCGGGTTCGGTTCGAAAATCAAACCTTTTTTGATGATTTTTTTGAATATCTTGGCCAAACAGTGTCCGATTTTCAAATTTTATACCATTTTGGACTCGTAAGGATGAGTACTAACGACTGGCATCAAAAAATAGAAAATCTAAATTTTGACCCAAAACGACCAAAATGGCAAGGGGTTACATCACGATATTTATCAAAATCGGGTTCAGTTCGAAAATCAAACCTTTTTTGATGATTTTTTTGAATATCTCGGCCAAATAAAGTCTGATTTTCAAATTTTATACCATTTTGGACTCGTAAGGATGAGTACTAACGACTGGCATCAAAAAATAGAAAATCTAAATTTTGACCCAAAACGACCAAAATGGCAAGGGGTTACATCACGATATTTATCAAAATCGGGTTCGGTTCGAAAATCAAACCTTTTTTGATGATTTTTTTGAATATCTTGGCCAAACAGTGTCCGATTTTCAAATTTTATACCATTTTGGACTCGTAAGGATGAGTACTAACGACTGGCATCAAAAAATAGAAAATCTAAATTTTGACCCAAAACGACCAAAATGGCAAGGGGTTACATCACGATTTTTATCAAAATCGGGTTCGGTTCGAAAATACAACCTTTTTTGATGATTTTTTTGAATATCTCGGCCAAATAGTGTCCGATATTCAAATTTTATACCATTTTGGACTCGTAAGGATGAGTACTAACGACTGGCATCAAAAAATAGAAAATCTAAATTTTGACCCAAATCGACCAAAATGGCAAGGGGTTACATCACGATATTTATCAAAATCGGGTTCAGGTTCGAAAATCAAACCTTTTTTGATGATTTTTTTGAATATCTCGGCCAAATAAAGTCTGATTTTCAAATTTTATACCATTTTGGACTCGTAAGGATGAGTACTAACGACTGGCATCAAAAAATAGAAAATCTAAATTTTGACCCAAAACGACCAAAATGGCAAGGGGTTACATCACGATTTTTATCAAAATCGGGTTCGGTTCGAAAATACAACCTTTTTTGATGATTTTTTTGAATATCTCGGCCAAATAGTGTCCGATTTTCAAATTTTATACCATTTTGGACTCGTAAGGATGAGTACTAACGACTGGCATCAAAAAATAGAAAATCTAAATTTTGACCCAAAACGACCAAAATGGCAAGGGGTTACATCACGATATTTATCAAAATCGGGTTCAGTTCGAAAATCAAACCTTTTTTGATGATTTTTTTGAATATCTCGGCCAAATAGTGTCCGATTTTCAAATTTTATACCATTTTGGACTCGTAAGGATGAGTACTAACGACTGGCATCAAAAAATAGAAAATCTAAATTTTGACCCAAAACGACCAAAATGGCAAGGGGTTACATCACGATTTTTATCAAAATCGGGTTCGGTTCGAAAATACAACCTTTTTTGATGATTTTTTTGAATATCTCGGCCAAATAAGTGTCCGATTTTCAAATTTTATACCATTTTGGACTCGTAAGGATGAGTACTAACGACTGGCATCAAAAAATAGAAAATCTAAATTTTGACCCAAAACGACCAAAATGGCAAGGGGTTACATCACGATATTTATCAAAATCGGGTTCGGTTCGAAAATCAAACCTTTTTTGATGATTTTTTTGAATATCTCGGCCAAATAGTGTCCGATTTTCAAATTTTATACCATTTTGGACTCGTAAGGATGAGTACTAACGACTGGCATCAAAAAATAGAAAATCTAAATTTTGACCCAAAACGACCAAAATGGCAAGGGGTTACATCACGATTTTTATCAAAATCGGGTTCGGTTCGAAAATACAACCTTTTTTGATGATTTTTTTGAATATCTCGGCCAAATAGTGTCCGATTTTCAAATTTTATACCATTTTGGACTCGTAAGGATGAGTACTAACGACTGGCATCAAAAAATAGAAAATCTAAATTTTGACCCAAAACGACCAAAATGGCAAGGGGTTACATCACGATATTTATCAAAATCGGGTTCGGTTCGAAAATCAAACCTTTTTTGATGATTTTTTTGAATATCTTGGCCAAACAGTGTCCGATTTTCAAATTTTATACCATTTTGGACTCGTAAGGATGAGTACTAACGACTGGCATCAAAAAATAGAAAATCTAAATTTTGACCCAAAACGACCAAAATGGCAAGGGGTTACATCACGATTTTTATCAAAATCGGGTTCGGTTCGAAAATACAACCTTTTTTGATGATTTTTTTGAATATCTCGGCCAAATAGTGTCCGATTTTCAAATTTTATACCATTTTGGACTCGTAAGGATGAGTACTAACGACTGGCATCAAAAAATAGAAAATCTAAATTTTGACCCAAAACGACCAAAATGGCAAGGGGTTACATCACGATTTTTATCAAAATCGGGTTCGGTTCGAAAATCAAACCTTTTTTGATGATTTTTTTGAACATCTCGGCCAAATAGTGTCCGATTTTCAAATTTTATACCATTTTGGACTCGTAAGGATGAGTACTATCGACTGGCATCAAAAAATAGAAAATCTAAATTTTGACCCAAATCGACCAAAATGGCAAGGGGTTACATCACGATTTTTATCAAAATCGGGTTCGGTTCGAAAATACAACCTGTTTTGATAATTTTTTTGAATATCTCGGCCAAATAGTGTCCGATTTTCAAATTTTATACCATTTTGGACTCGTAAGGATGAGTACTAACGACTGGCATCAAAAAATAGAAAATCTAAATTTTGACCCAAAACGACCAAAATGGCAAGGGGTTACATCACGATTTTTATCAAAATCGGGTTCGGTTCG